AAATGTTAAATGGCTAAGCAGGGGAAATGGAGTACTAAATTGAGAAACATGTTATTAAAGTAGTATTAAAGTAGTACACAAAAATAACTATTATTTGAGATTAAAGTTGTATATTGAATATAAACATATGCATAATGAGCTTTTTTTTTAATGAAATTATACGACTCAATATGTTTTCATGTTATAGGCATTAAGTGGGATCACAGTTCTGCATGTAGACTACAATGTTTTAATGGAGGGATGGTGCAGCATAGCAAACATAGAGTTACTAACATAGTTAAATAGCAAGGTGGTTGACTTTGTTGTGTTCCTATATTGTCCATTATTTCTCTAGCATTCCCATTATTAATAATATTAATTTAAGCATCACGTTTATTGCTGAGATCAAGCATAGATTATCAATAGGCAAACGTGTTCAGCTGCTGTGGGAATACCCCGACCCCCAGGTGATCCAAGGGCTCTACTTTAGGCATGTCACTGTTCAGAGGTATATGCAGGAATCCTGAAGTCAAATGTAAAACCTTTTAAGACCTTTTTTAAGAACCTTTCCATACATTTTAAGACCTCATCGCCACTTTGAGTTTTAACCGGTTACATTGGCGACACACTTTACCTCACATTTACTATATACAGTATTGATTGTCCTTCCTCCTTATCTTCCAACCATTTGGACGCAAACTTGCATTTCCCCATAACGATGTTGTTTAACAACCGGCGTAAACGGACCTTCGCGCGCTATCAAGCAGCAGTCAGTCAGTGAGCGTGCGATGTCCTGTTCAGATGACGTCAAATCCAACGGGATGCCATAAATAAACTACACAGAATCACACTACACACCTACGCAATGATTACATTCAGGCAAACTTTAGAATACAACCTCTTTGGACAATTTATATACTTATTGAAAACAAGCTACAAGATGTAATACCATGGAAAATGCCGTTTAATACTTTTTAATAGCCTTAATTTTCGCTAAATTGATTTATCCACTTTTAATACTTTTTAAGACCCTGCGGACACCCTGCTGTTTAGTCAGTGGTTAATAACCGCTCTTTATATGGCACTTTTTTCCAAAAGGCACCGATTGCAGGAAGCTAATGTAATATGCAAGGCAATGAAAGAAACATCAGGAGCAGTTTAGGTTCTGCTTTAAGAACAGGAGAAGCTGGAGATCAAGCTACTGAGGTTATTACGGCAATTGTATGCATTGGGAATACGTTGTTAACACTGTATACACCTCTGAAGCTCATTATATACAGAAGCTATAACGGCCTCAAAACCACACCTGCATTATCAACTCATCTTGCAGAGGCGCGATGTGTTCAGACTTTATCCAGCCTCATTCAATTCTGTTTAAATTCATTCATTCACAGAGTTAGGCATGTGCAATAATACTGTAATTATAGAAGTATTCCTATTTGTTCAACAACCATCACACTTTGCCAACTTCCCTGCATTATGTTTGTCCTGCTGCTTATTTTTCTATGCAATAAGGAATTATGAGTAACATTACAGCAGCACTAGTTTTCAGGTTATCTCCAATTGAAGCAGATAGTGTTAACCTGTTGCTTTCCTTGTCTAACTTCGTGGTAATGCCTGTTGTGTTCCCGGATTTTAGCAATTACTTTGGTGATTAAACTGCTATCAGGACTGTTCGAAATGCTGACACAAACTATGTACTGTTATATACACCAACAATTATGTATTTCTTGGTGGAATGTCATTAGGATAAAGATATACGGGAATTGAAATAAAAACACCACTTTCAACAAACACGCATCACCGAAAGAGAATGATAATATAGTGCAGGGGCTACTGTGTATGTAGAGCTGAATCTGTAGTCCACACACACTCTTTTTACATTTCACAGGGAAGTTGTCACCCACAGAAATCTTCACCCGCCTTACGCACGTTCTCTTGAAGCTGCAGATAAGAGAGATTTCTGCCACAACCTTCCCCTTGTGAACGCGTAATGACAAGCGTGGGTGTTTACCACGGCGCAGGGAAGGTTCAAGCGTACACCATAACGCACCTCTTTTTCCTCTTTCTGTATTCCTTGTGCAACCCCCACCCCCGGGCCCCCTACATCCCCCCCCCCCCTCCACCCACTCAACACCCCCCCCCCCCCCCCTTCCCCTCGCTGCAGTGGTAATTGGGTATGACATGGGATCAACGTGCGGGGAGCGAGGATGCATTCGAATGCGCCTCACGTCGTCTTCCTCACGTCGTCTTCCTCACGTCTCTTTTCCTAACCTGCTGCCTTCCAGCCCCTTGCTCACCGCTGTTACCGTAGCAACATCTGCGTGACCGCATCCCCCCCCGCCCCCGCCCCCTCCAACCCCCGTGTCATTTATTTTATTAAGATTGGCCGCTAGTGCCCAAATGTGTGCGTGTGTGCAACAGCTCGACAGCGAGGTGCATAGCAGCAGAGGGTTGCCAACATCCGAGCCAATTACCGCAGCCTCACTACAGAAACGAAAGCTACAACTCAAGGAAGACTGACCAACGAGCAGAGAAAAATGTAGCCACTCGAGTCAAAGTTGTTACATTAAGTCAATCGAGTACATTATTGCACATCTGGGTACAACCATATTTGGCTCACAGGAGACACACACCTGCCACGGAAAAGTCCACACAGCTTTGGCAAAATAATCCACATATTTCTTCTTCTCATGTAAAAATATTAAACACGAAAAGGTGAATTGCAGTTGTTTTAAGCATTCAATTTCTGTTTTCAACCCCACATTTCTTTTTCTCTATTTATTTGCAGCTCAAGCCTGAGGACAGCAGTTTTCTTTGTCTTCCTAATTATTTTGATGGTATATCCCACAGGCTAAAAAGCTGGGAGGTTGAGGACTAGCAGCTGTTTATAAGCAGATTAAATATGAATCGTGATACAAATTCATGTCTTCTAAGAGGCGTTGGTTCATGTCCATTGTCAAACCATCTGTTGCATCACTGAGAAGACCCTACTGAACCTAATGCTTGCCTTCTGTTTCAAATTAGTATTTTGGTATCGTCTTTGCTTTGGAAGATGAAAGAGAATGTTTGTTTACCTTTGTTATAACCAGAGAGAAACCTGACAAAATGTACTTATATATTCAGAACATTCCCTGGCTAACCCTGACCCTAAGATCGCTCACAATACATTTTCTAGAGAGCCATTCCAGACGTTATGCTTGAGGACATCACACATTTGAGTTTACGGTAGTCAATGGGATTTCTACACCGGATTTCCGAAATATTGCAGAAAATATGATTTTAAGCAAACGTTTATGATACTTGCACATTGTGTCCAGCAAGATAATCTCCGCATATAAACAGAATGTTATGATTTTTTAAGCAAAAAAGGCCATACCCAGAGGTCAAAAGCTAACGTCTGGCTGTAATCAACTACGTCACGGTTACATGGCTGCGCAGCACCACCGCTAAGCTAAAGACAGCTAATGTTAGCCTGATGAGCCATTGAGTAGTCTCCATGTTAGCTACGGCTGTTTTTTCTGAAACATACAAGCTTTGAATTTTCATGAGTGGGTTATAAACTGACCTATGTTATATAACAATACTTCAAAATCTCTTAAGTTTGTGTTAAACAAAGATCTTATTTCAGACATCCTACCAAAAACACGTTCAAAATCCATTGACTTTGAGTAGTAAAATGCTGAATCATTTTCGGGTTTTTGGACTCATTTGTGCAACACTCTATAGCCAATATGGTTTTTCCAAGGCTAATCCAGCTGGAGAACGGCTTATTTAGGTTAATGCAGGCCAAAAAGTGTATAGTTGACTAGTTGTAGGGAGTTATTAGTAGATAACAAGATGATAATACTCACTTATTTGTGTTGCACTTCACAACTCCTTATCCAACAAGACGTCAAAAAAATGGTCTCGAAACTGAAATAAAGTTCAAGTTCGGATTGCTATGACATGTCTCAGAAATCTGGAAGCAGCAAACCCTTGTGGAGCAGCTACTTTGTCAGAATACAGAAGCAGAGCACTGGTGTCTGTTTAGAGCACAGCAAAACAATGTCATGTTTTTTTTTTCATGCCATGAAGAGCCACAAAATGATCACATGTTGGGATTGGAATATGTCGTTTTCAACACATCAGTACAAAGTCAAAATAATTACCTTTCTTGGAGTTAGAGGTGTGCAGCCTGTTGCTTTCAGCTCTCCATCCAACAGCTCTCTGTGGCTGCTCCATCATTGCCTGCAATTATTCAAACTGGGCCACTGACAGTGTTGTAGAAGCATTTTGGGTCAATAATAGTGGTCAGCACTCACTATTTCTGAATGAGAAAAAGTCCCAGTTTCACCAGTTAAAAGTTTTTAATGTGAACTAGCTGTAGTAGGAGTTTTTGTTTCCAGCAGTAACTTTATAAAGCTCTACTAGAGGAGGCAACAGTAAGTCAATGGGTTAAATGACTTCATCAAACCCTGTTTAATGCTGTGTAACACATTATTAGCACCCTCTGCATACAAGTAGTTCATGGTTTCCACAACTTCTTTAAAATGAAATTCAAGGACTTTTTATGGACTTTCAAGATAATCTTCCCTTAAAATCAAGGATCTGAAACGGCACATATTGAGACACAAATCAACATACATTTTCAATGACCAATTTCTATTTATGTTTATTTTCAAAATCTTCAATTGTTCTATCCAATATTTACACACTTTCAAGGATTTCAAGGACCCTGGGAACCCTGTTGTGTAAAAATGTCAAATGATAATGTTTTGCTTTGTCTGTACCTGCATATTTAATAGATGATCTAATTCACAAACATACCTACATATACCTGAACTACTCAACCTGTGCCATACACATTAGCATAGGTTAGGTGAGAATTGTGAGGTACATGTAGGTATGTTCATTGCTCTTTAGTAATGAAAAGATAAACACCAATTACACTTTTTTTACAAAAAGGAAAAAAATTAAGTGTAAGTATACATATAAGGTGAAATATAGTGTGAAAGAAAGAACTTTAGACACACACTGTACCGGATATGAATGGTTTAATAAAATCATACAATACATCACAGGTTTGGTGGATTTAAGTCATGGCCAGGATTACCTGAGCTTATTCCTGTGTTGTTAAAAAAATATAAAACCAAAAAACTCAAAAGCAATAAAACCGAATCAGTTCTTCTTCTTCAGTCAAAAATCGAAACAAGGACGGTCCCTATGCACTCTTCATCTCACACCTGAAATAATTTCCTTCCTTTTCATACCGACAAAGGAAGCAGAGGTTTGGACGAACACTGAATCTCACATTCAGATGATGGAGCGTTGACCCTGAATGATCTTCACAGCACAAATCTCAGAAATACTTTCCGCTGATCTTGTGAATGACTGAATTGAAAGTGTACCGACTCCGACCATAAATCTAATACTCACTAATTTCTCTTTCGAAAAGCTTTCCCTGCAGAATATAACAGTGCAGAATAATAACGCAACTTTACCGGATGATACCGCAGATACATCGCATAATAAGAACTTTTTTTCTTTTAAAACATGGCATGCTAACAGCAAATCTCTCTCATAATTCCAAACAGGAAAGCGACAAGTGCCGCTCCTAGTGCAAAAGTGAAAGCCTACGTCAATAAGACTTTGACCCTTTTCCTGCCACTCTTCATCCGTGATTGACCAGCAGGTTCTAAGAGAAAAAAAAGAAGAAGAAAGAACCGAGAGTTAGTCCATCTGCACTTCGGCCACACCCTCCGACCTTTTACATGCTCTTAGGTGAAAGGACTGTCCGTGTTTTCGGCACACTTTCCCAGCTTTAACGGAGCAGAAGTGAAAGGTCAGAGCTGCTAATAATAGGGTTAATTATCTCAGTAATGGAAGTGAACCTGCTGAAAGATGTTCCTCAGCTCTACATCGATAGTTCACAGGCTTTCTCATGTTGGGACAAATTGCACCTACGGGAAGACAAAGATGTTTCCCTTATCTTGGAACTGTTTAATGATGCAGTCTGTGTTACATATTTTATTTAAGAAACAAATAAGGCTCTTTTTCTTCCCATATATCGTTCATTTTGTCCAATGTACTTCAAGTTTGGGCCATTTTGTTCTACTTTACATTTTAAACACATAAATTCTGATATCCAGGCCTTGATTAATCATGTGGTTACATTACTTTGTATATGTTGGGTATGTTTAACAACAGCAACGTTTTCAATGCGGTAGAATGAAGGGAAATATATAAACTCAAGTGAGTGGCATCAAACAGCCAATCCTACAGCTCTTAATAAGTGTTATCCCAGCAAACGCATATAGACTTTCTCATATGTCCTAATTGAAGACGATTCGCCTAGGTAATTAAATTCACATATCATGATTTGTAGAGGTAGCATATCATAGTATTTATTGTTTATCATGATGTGCATTTTGATTTTGAAAGAGATTCACACAATAACCTTTCACCCTTCATAGACACGAACCAATACAATCAAGCAACTAGGATCAATTCAAACCTTGGAATCCTGGCAAGATAATACACAAATCGGGCCAAGGTGATAACTAGCCAATTGAATAGAGCTTCACCACCATTTAGTCCAATTCTTATAACCTTGAGTGCAACCTATCAAAATGATCAATAAAAGCTAGTGATATACAGTACCTTTTAAGTGAGATGGTCTCAATAGCAGTGTATGGAGAGGTGTTAAATGATAGGTAATTGGCCTTCATTGAGAAGATCGATAAACTCTTTGAAGCCTTGGTAGTTAGGGAGACAACCGGATGGCTACTAGCTACGATTATATAAGCTGATTACCACAGGAAGACTTGACCCTGACTATTGCATTGGATTTTTAAATGCAGATGTGACGCATTCAGCTCCAGACATATGCAGTGTTTTTATTGGACAGCTGCACAGGGCTGAAGTGGCAGTTTTTAATAGAATTGTTAGTGAGTGTTTGCAAAGTGCGCCGTCCTTAGTGCCGATTCCCTTAAGGAAGGACCATGCAAGTAACAGGTGGAAACGCGTCAACAGAGTGTCATTATTATTCCAAATAAAAATAATAAAAAGAGCACATACTGGATTTATACAAGCTAGGGTGGTGAAAAAACATGTATTAAAGAGGCCCTATTAGGATTACGGGGGTTTCCCTTTCCCTTTAGTGTGTTATATGGGTTTTTGTGGATGAAAACGGTGTGCAAAGTCCCAAAGTTGACGCCAGACAGAGTTTCTCTCTCCTTTGTTTACTCCTGTAACATAATGACTCACTATGTAACACTCACTAAATAAACTCTAAAATGAGTGGAGGATAGCCCTCCACTCATTTTACTTGATAGGCTAAAGGGTGGGACATCTCTTAGCGGTTGACCAATCACAACAGAGCCGGCCAGCTAACCAATCAGAGCAGACTGGGCTCTGGTTTCAGACAGAGGGTGAAAAGAGGTGCTGCAGCACAGGCAGTATGAGAAAAATAAAGAGCTTTTTGAACATTAAAGCATGGAGACATGTCACATTAGAGCAGTGGTTCTCAAACTTTTTCCGTCAGGCCCCCCTTTGGAGAAAAAAAAAAAGTCGGGCCCCCCCAACACAAATAGTCACGTAATGGGCCAAGTTAACATTTATTAAAATACATCAATATGAACGTGAGCATTCCTTTCAAAAATCACTCTATTAATATGTAACAAATATATTCAATTTCAGAGCAGAAGAAACAGCCTTACTCTGCACATACATCATTCAGCAGTGCACAGTGAAGCTCCAACATTCAACTGTATGAACAAGCAATACTTTGAAATGCAAAAGTGTGTGTGTGTGTGTACGAGAGTCTCTTTAATAACAATTTTCAACTCGAGCCTCAAATTCGCGTGACGCGTTCTCGTGGTAGCCAATCAGCAGTGAAGATCTCAGCCACTGACGTTGAATCAGAAAACCAAAACAGCAGCTGTTAGCTGTTAGCACACAGAGCTCACAGCTCCTCATATCTGTTCAGAAACTGGACAAAAGTTAAACAAGTACAAACCACAGACTGTCTGTGTCATGGTGAATACAGTCGCTGCTTTATTTCTGTCTGTATGAAGTTGTTTAGAGTTTGGACGGAGCAGCTACAGGTTAGTTTAGCCCGATCGATCCGATCTCCATTCGGAAAACACGCATTTTCAAAGGTTTTTCGCCTGCCGTCTTGTCTGCAGACTTGTCAAAGCATTAATTCATGGTTTTTACTAACCGGTATCAGTATTTTGTTACTTCGGCATCATTTTGAAACGTGTATTACAATTAAATCACGGTAAAATATGTTCATTTTGTTGTAGTTGAGTCTACCACAGTATTTACATGGATATAAGCCCCGCCCCCTCTCCAGCGCGTCCTGTTTGAATGACAGGAGTAAACACAGCTGACAGCCGCAGTGAAACTCCAGCGATTAGAGCATTGCGAATATTCATATCGCGTCCGTTGTGAACGCAGCATAATGCAGTTCAGAGACCAGACCACTGCTCTGACGCTTTTAAAGCAACTTCGAGATTTTAGCAGTGTGAGGGGCACAAAGGCCATGGTGCACCCCCCACTTTGAGAAACACTGCACTAGAGGCACAAAATAGTATACAAATATGAAGCTGAAAATGTTATTATGTTATCTCTAACTTTTATTCTGCAGGAACAGAGGATGAATTATTAATTCCACCCGAAAACACAACTCTCTTTGTGCAATTCTTTTTTCATTTAATGCTTTGTTAAAAAGAAATATTCTGCATTGACCATTCAAGTTATCAATAGAAGAGTAACATATATTATTTATCCATGATTTTTTATCATAGACTCAAGCTTAAACCCTATTCTCTTTTAAATGTCCTGTGGTGTCCTATTCAGAAATCAATAAGGTTTAGCCCTGCCTGGCTTCGGAAGGTTGTTTCAGAATCACTACTGGTCTGAAGTCTTCTAGTAACCCATGCGCAACAATGCAACGAGCTGAATTGACTGAGGGCCTGGGGTGCATTGACCTGTCTGAGAGGCATTCATGTACTTTAGGTGCATGCATGTGTGTGTAGACTAGAGGCTCATGCTATCTGTTCTAAACACTGCAGAGACCGTTCCAGCTGTGAAAGTCAGACCATTGAAACCACAGAGAGACTCAGAGAGCAGGGTGATCAATATGGCTCCTCTCATCCCATCCCTCCGATTTCCTCCACTCAACTTACATTCTCTTCCCTCCCTTATCTTTGGATTTTGCCTTATTCTGCGCTTGAACAAGTAGGTGTTTACACACACTAAATTACAATAACTGAATATGTGTTCAAAAGTGTTTGAATAAACTTCAATTAAAGCTTTAGTACATTAAGTGGTGACTTTTGACCAGTCAGTTCAATACTGGTGACTCAGGATTGAAACATCTCCTTTGAAAAAACTATTTTACAAAAGCACAAACTATAATTAAAAGGAAAAGACAACCTCTTTGTTTCTTAAAAAAATTGAAATGTTTTATGTTTGTGCTAAGAGTGTTGTTATTTGTTTGTGCAGGATTGGCAGTCCAATACACTTGGAAACCTTCAAGCCAACATGGGAAAAAAAGAGTTTGTTGGGAAATAGAAATGTTATCATTGACAACCGGGCAAACTGATTTGGCAAATTGTGTCATGTGGTTAAAAATCCAATTGGACTTTGTGGTCAGCTTTTTTTCTTGAATCTCAAAAGATACCTATGCGTATATGAGAACGTCTTAAAAGATTAGCTCTTAATTAAATGCCATTTTATAAGAAAGGAGGGTAACATGATGGCGATGGAGGGGATGTGTAGGAGAGAATTATCTTCTACAATCAAAAATACAGGAACTAAATTCATTATCAACTAATCTGTCTGTTTTGGAGTATTTAGACACTCCAACAAACTAAGTTATCAAATGTATATCAAACAGAGATAAGTAGCAAATCCTCATACTTGAGAGGCAGGAATTATGTTTTGCATACTATAGATAATTGTGTAAAAGATGTCCCCTGCCTCCCCTGTCTAAATGACAGCTCAGTTTTAGTGCTTTAGGATAGCCACAATTATAGAATTGTGTATTGATGCACTACTGACCACGGCATTGACAGAATTAGCAATTAGTATCCATACATGGTCTGAAAATGGAATCTGTGGACATCTACTCCATTAGAAGAAACTTGTAACACTTCAGAACTCACCCACTAACAAACAAATGGATTTCCCACCAGTTGCTTTAATTGAAGATCCATCCTGAATTTAAGTATGGACTAAGAAGACTTTCTGGTGTTACACCACACTGCTTCCCAGATTGCGAATTGGTATCTGTCCTTTTACAAGAATATTTTTTTCATTTTCACATGCACCTAGCCAGCAGATCACACAGAGAGGGTGAGTGCAGGTAGTGGGGAAAGAAGAAGAGGGGCCGAACACAGTAGGAGATAGAAAGAAAAAAAAACGAACTAACAACAAACAGAAATTCAGGTGAGGTTGAAGAAGTCTGCCTGTTCTCCAATCTGCCTGACCCAGCCTTGACTCAATTGGAAATCCATGTTATCTGATGACTGGCAGGCAATTGGGGCTCCCAGGTGATAGACTGAGGCGCTGTGGTTGATAGGCCTGACCACTCCACTGCTGAGGGATGGAGGAATGAAGATGGGGGGGAGTGGGGGTTGGAGAACACATACCCGCAAAGACACTAATGCCGCATTTCCACTACACGGT